TGATGTGTCAAATTCCACTCATGCTTCCAATCTCTGAATTCCTTTTTTGCTGGTAGATGGAGAGAACACTCTGCTCTTAAAGGGCTTGTGTGATTAGATTAGGTCCACTCAGATAATTTTCCTTTCTCCATATAAAGTGACCATCATATTCAGAGGTTCCACCCACACTCAAAGGGAAGGGGATTATACAAAGGTAAGAATCACTGAGAGTCACTGTTAGAATTTTGCCTATGGCAAACCTAAAACTGTCTTATAACTATACTGGAAAAACCAGGGTGGGAGAGGAGAAGTACAGGGTATGGTATAAGAAAGCTAAATTCTCAACTATCATAATAGGAAAGCTATAATAGGCAAAAATGGATAAATCAATACATACCATATAAACATATTCTTTAAAAGTAGGAAGGTTAAGTGACAAAAGAAACAACTAGAAGAGTTGAAAATTTGTCTCTGGAGAGTGGAGGTGAGAGGGCTAGAGTAAGCAACTCTTACTTTTCATTATAAGCTTTTTAGCACTATTTTCTTTTATTTATTTTTTTTAATTTTTAGGGAGAGTGTGCACGAGCAAGGGAGAGGGGCAGAGAGAGAGATAGAGCGAGGAAGAGAGACTCTTAAGCAGGTTCACACTCAGTGTGGAGCCCAGTGCAGGGCTTAATCCACAACCCTGGGATCATGACCTGAGATGAAATTAAGAATTGGACACTCAACTGACTGAGCCACCCAGGTGCCCCATATTATTACTTTGAAAAAGAATTACAAAGACAACTTTTCAATATTTCTGATTGCACATGACGAAGATAACTAAAAGGTTTGAAGAACATCATAAAAATCATGAGAAAAATAAGTTTGCTTTGCAAATGCCTGATTCCTCTTTAAAAAGACCCAAATGAGAAGTGCCTGGGTGGGTCAGTTGGTTAAGTGTCCGACTTCAACTCAGGTCATGAGCTCATGGTTTGTGGGTTTGAGCCCCACGTTGGGCTCTGTGCTGACAGCTCGGAGCTTAGAGGCTGCTTCAGATTCTGTGTCTTCCCCTCTCTCTGCTCCTCCCCTGCTCATGCTCTGTCTTTTTCTTTCTCAAAAATAAATAAACATTAAAAAAACAAATGAAAGTTATAGATGATGTACTGTGGGGGCAAAAAAGGGCATGGCACTCATCAATGGACATAATTTCAAAGAAATGGAATTGGTACCATGTCAAAAAAAATTGGTGAATCTATACTTACATGTATTAAGTGAAACTAAAATGTATAAGGTATGTATCTTTTCTTGATTTCCCAATTTACAATATAATCTTTGACCAACTATTTGTCTAAAAGAGTCTACTGTACAACTGACCCTTGAACAACAAGAGCTTGAGCTGCATGGGTCCACTTACATGTGGATTTTTTTTTTTTTTATAAATATACTATAACAAAAGAGAACTGCAGTACTACAAATATGTTTTCTCTTCCTTATGATTTTCTTACATTTTCTCTTTTTTACCTTTACCATAAGAATACAGTATATAATAAATATACAAAATATGTGTTAATCGGACAGTTTATGTTCTTGGTAAAGCTTCTGGCCAATAGTAGGCTATCAGTAGTTAAGTTTTGGGGAGTCCAAAGTTATATGCATATTTTTTACTATGTGGGGGATCAGTGCCCCTAATCCTTGCATTGTTCAAGGATCAACTGTAATTATATTCAACTTGTAATATGTAGTATTTATTAATTGATCTAAGCTTGTTAGATATTGATATCTATTGGCGGGTTTATACCAGGGATCTATAGTTGGTGGTCAGGAGTTTATGGATTAGTTTAGCCACACTCCAGGTTCATATGGACCACATTTAGTTTAAGATGCCTCCTGGAGGGGTGGAATCAGTGGTAATTAGTTACTTTGCTAAATGGTGATTTCACTAAATTCTTGCCCCAGAACTGACATCCTAGTTTTCTTGGAGCAGTAAGATGTGGATAAGCTTATAGCACTGGATTTTACCAATAACTCCAGCAAAGTTTGAGTTTAAGCACAGAAAACATCAAACCATTGTTTTGATATCTGCATATAAGAGACCACATAATAATGACTCTGTGTGTATGAGAGAGACAAAAAGAGAGGAGGAGGAACCCACCCAGTTACTTTTCCCCATGCTTGCAGAACACCACTTTGAGACTGGAGAACTGTTAACTTTTGGGGAAGTTGCCTAGGGGCTATGAAAGAAGGTTATAAGGCATTGACTCCTAGAAGAGTTGCCAAATCAACAATGCTGGCCATTAGCTGAGCAAAAAGTTACCATTCAGCTCCAGTGAATAGTAGGTTTCTGGCAATCTTGAGAACCACAGGTTAGAGAATAGTGAACAACTCTTCTTTATAGCCCACCTGACATTCAAACAAACTCAGGGTTTATGAGTTAACAGAATTTTCCTAGAAAGGCTGATCATTAATCATTTGTACAGTTAGGTGTCTGCTAACAGCAAAAGACCTGTATCATTCATTCCCATTACTGTTTAAAAGTGATAATTTTCTGTAATTTTCTTTTGTTGTAGTATATTTATTTAAGAAATCCACATATAAGCGATATATGTTTGTTAATTTGGAATCAAATTTTGGCTCTATCACTGACCTTGGGTAAATAAGTTAATAACCTCTTTGGGCCTCAGTTTCCTTATTGGTAAGAAGAGAATAGTAATACCTCACAGGCATGTTGAAAGAATTAAATGGAATCATGCATGAGGGTGTAAAATTGAGAGGAGGAGGGGGAAACAATTTGTAGGGGTGACAAAGCTGATGTTCAGTTCTCCTTTTTAAAAAATTTTTAATATTTATTTTTGAGAGAGAGAGAGGAGAGAGAGAGATTGGGGGAGGAGGAGAGAGATGGGGACAGAGGATCTGAAGAAGGCTCTAAGCTGACAGCAGCAAGACTGATGTGGGGCTCAAACTCACAAACTGTGAGATCATGACCTGAGCCAAAGTCAGATGCTCAACTGACTAAGCCACCCAGACTCCCCTGTCCAGTCTTCCTTCTAACTTTACATTTTAGGCCAACAGTTTGTCTAAGCCTACAGCCTCTGATAGTCTGCCACTGGAGTGAAAAAAATTGGGTAAGCAGATGATATCAGGATATGTCTCTATAACCCCATAGGGGACTCCAGTTTTATAAAGTGAAATCTTTTTCTCTGCCTAGCCTACAATGAAATTAACTAGAAATGAGACTCAGGCCTCTTTGGATTGCTACCAGGTCTTATTTACTGGAGTTTAGGTAGTTAACTGGGTAGGAAAACCCTAGGCTTGGGGCTTAGTTCTCTCAATGGTAAGAAGTAATAGGGGCAGGCAGGGTTGAAGCAACCAGGAGAGGCCTATTTTCGGCCTGGAACAAAGAAAATTTATGGGTTAGGCCAAGTGTGTTTCTCTGAGAGGGTGAGGAGCTTCTTATTTGGAGACAATAGTGGCCCCATGGCATAATGCTGGGACACAGCTGAGTGGGGGCCAGCCAGGGAGGGCCAGTGTAGGGGTATTAAGGAATTTCTAGAGTCAACGACTAGGATCCTTTGTATTAATCTTACCTGAAACCTGGGTATGTAAAACAGAGCTTTTTGATGTCATTAGAAAGAGAAAACAGAGTGCCCAATAGAGACCTATACAAGATTAGTTTCTCTCAACCTTAACTTTGTGCTTTATACTTACCAGTTACCCCCTTCCTTCACCCCAATAAAACTTTGCTTTACTACCTGCCTACACTTAATTTCTGTCACATATGTTCTCCGTTCTTTCTGAAATACCCTTTCCCCTCCATGTCTGTGCTTTTTAAACAATTCATCTTTTAAGACCTTAAACAATTATATCTCCTCTAAAGCCTCCTCTAACTTCCTGTTTTAGAGATGATCATTCAAGTATCATTTGTTAATTTATTTACCTAAAGTATTAATTATATTATGTATTATTACATGATACATAATATATTATGTATTAGGCATTATGAAGCATTGTGGATATAATGCAATTGGATATTTACTTGCTGCCTGTTAAAAATCCTTCAATGGTTCCTTATAAAGTTAAAATGCTTAGCATGGCTAACAGCATCTTCAGTTTTCTGGCCCCTGCCAAGTTTTGAAGGCTTACTTCCCAGCACTTGTCTTCTTTACACTTTATATATGCCCAAGGAGTTCATTTAGTATGGCTCTCTCTCAAGTCTCTGTTCCTTTGTGCAATATTCCCTTCTTGTCTACTTGGTGAACTCCAATCATCTCTTAACTCTCAGTTCTGGGAATATTTCCTGTGTGAAGGCTTCTCTAAAGGACTCTCCTGTGCTCATTCAAATCCAATAGTATCGGGTACTTCCTCTTTTGTAGTTCCATAGCATTCCATACTTAATTTATTCGTATACTATATTGCAAATTTTTTGTCTGCATATTTATCTTTATCCAGAAGCCACTTTATAGCAGACACCTTATCCTATCCATTTTTGTAACCCCAGTCACCAATATAAAGGCTGGCACAAAACTGTTCTTAGTAAATGTTAAATAAGTGAGCAAATTAATAAGAATACATTTATTCTGGGGCATCTGGGTGGCTCAGTCGGTTAAGCATCCGACTTTGGCTCAGGTCATGATCTCATGGTTCGTGGGTTCGAGCCCCGTGTTGGGCTCTGTGCTGACAGCTAGCTCAGAGCCTGTAGCTTGTTTCGGATTCTGTGTCTCCCTCTCTCTCTGACCCTCCCCTGCTCATGCTCTCTCTCTCACAGAAATAAATAAAACAAAAAAACAAAAATAAAAATAAAGAATACATTTATTCCTTTGAACAAGTTGAATGTCTTAATATGGATATTAAATGACAAAAAGAGGGAAGCTGAATGGATAATCTCCCTACTCCATTAATTTTAACTAGAGTAATTGTTAATTGTGGGGGATAAAGCTCTAACTCAAGGTAGAGAAAGAAATGATTAAGAAGAAGCTCTTCTACATCTACCACCATCTCTACTATATCCACCACCAGCTCTTTACCACCTGTATTGCCCTTACTTGTTTCTTTAGTTGTGTCCCTTTTCTTGTTCCAAAAGGAATTTTGATATCCCAATAGATATAAGTTGAAGAAGGCCATTTTAACTCCTCCCTGTCCTCTGGAATGTCCAGGCTGGAGCACTGGACTCTGTTTGGTAACCATGGTAATGCCCTGAAGAATTACTATGACTGACACTCCCTTTATCTAAGGAGACAGAGGATTATGGGTTCACTGTAAAGCTGCAGGGGGAGTGGGCTAAATAACTTCAGAAAAATGGAGGAATTAAGTGCCAGTTACCCTTTTTCTTGTCCCAGTCTTATGCATACTGTAAGTTTCAGAAGGCAATGAGTAGAAAGAGCACAGACCTGAGCTCAAATATTAGTTTTGCCATATTTTTGGGAACTTTGAATAGGTTAAGCCTCTTTTATTTTTAAAAAAGGCAATAGTATGTACTTCATAGTTATGATAATTAAATGAGATAATGTATGCCAATTTCCTCAGCATAGTGTTTAGCATATAATGGAAACATAACAAACAGTATTTAAATGGAAATATGGTACTTCCAATGAGTCTTTTAAGCTATTTCAAGCAGTTTGCTGAATCAGTTCATACTGATTTTTGAGCTGCCTGTTAAGTTTTCAGGAATTTTGCAAGCTCGTTGTTAAACAAGCCATTATTAAAAATTATCTAAACATACAATTAAATACACTATATTAAAAATAAAGGTAATAAATACTAAAAACTCGTCTGTTTCTAATTATTTTACTACATTGTACTATTATCTATGCTCATGAAGTTATTTATATCTATTATATCTGGATATTCTGTTATTTTTATTTTTTCTCTTTGCTTTTCAGTTTGCGAAGTTTCTATTGACATATCTTTAAACTCACTGATTCTTTACTTGGTTGTGTCCATGTGCTGATAAGCCCTTCAAAGGCATTCATTTCCTTTACAATGTTCTTTAGTTTTTTGTTTTTTTTCCCTGAAGTAAGCTCTAGGCCTAACGTGGGGCTTGAACTCATGACTCTAAGATCAAAAGTCTACTGACTGTGAGCCAGCCAGGCATCCCTATTACAGTGTTTTATACTTGACATTTCCTTTTGTAATTAATCTTTCTTTCTTTCTTTCCTCCCTCCCTCCCTCTCTCCCTTCTTTTTTTTTAGAGAAAGGAGTGTGAGTGGAAGAGAGGGAAAGAAGGAGATAGAGAATCCCAAGCAGGCTCCATGTTCACCATAGAGCCTGATGTGGGACTTGAACCCATTACCCTGGGATCATGGCCTGAGCCAAAATCAAGAGATGGACACTCAATCGACTAAGCCATCCAGGCACCCCTCTAACATTTCCTTTTGATTCTTAGCTTTCATCTCCCTGCTTGCATTACCCATATATTCTTTTTTTTTTTTTTAATATTTTTAAAATTTATTTCTAGGAGAGAGAAAGACAGCGTGAGCAGGGGAGGGTCAGAGAGAGAGGGAGATACAGACTCTGAAATAGGCTCCAGGCTCTGAGCTGGCAGTCAGCACAGAGCCCGACGCAGGGCTCGAACCCACGAACCGTGAGATCATGACCTAAGCGAAAGTCGGACGCTTAACCGACTAAGCCACCCAGGCGCCCCAACATTACCCATACATTCTTGCATGTTGCCCACTTTTTCCTTTAGAGTCCTTAGCATATTAGTCAGTTAAATTCCCAGTTTGATAATTCCAAAATTTCTGCCATATAGGAGTCTGGTTCTGATGCTTGCTGTCTCTTGAAACAGTATTTTTTACCTTTTAGTATGCCTTATCATTTTTTTTGTAGAAAGTTAGATGTGATATATTGGGTTAAAGGAATGGATGTTTTACATTTATCTGTTTGGGAGTTAGGCTGGTGTTTCCTGTTTGCTATGGCTGTATGTGTCAGAGGCTAAAATTTCTTCTGATGTCTCTGTCCCCCATGTTGTCTTTGGGTTTACCTACAGACTCCTTAAATAGGGTCTGAGTTTGTAGTTCCTTCCATTGTAATCCTATTATTATATAGATCTACTGATGTGTTGATAAGGGGGGTGTAGGTTGGGGAAGTGTTATTTTGAGAGAGAGAGAGGGGAAGAGAGAGAGAGAGAGAGAATGAGCAGGGGAAGGGCAAAGAGAGAGGGAAAGACAGAGAATCCGAAGCAGGCTCCACACTGTCAGAGGAGAGCTTGATGTGGGACTTGAATTCATGAACCATGAAATCATGACCCGAGCCAAACCAAAAGTCAGATGCTTAACCTGCTTAACAGACTGAGTCACCCAGATGCCCTGGGGGAAGTGTTTTATAATCCTATCAGGTCTCAGTATTTTAGTGAGTTTGTGCCCTCCCTGGACTGTGACCCTCACAAATGCTTATTATCTTACCCTCCATCCAGTCCTTAGTTGAAACAAGAAGGCCAAAGAAGGCTGGAGCTGGTTATTTTCCTTCTATGTTGCTAAGACTGGTAAGTAGCCACCATTGAAGACAGGCCTATGTTAAGGAAAACTGAATGCTCTAGGTCTATTTCCAAGTAGTATTTTTTTTTTCCCTCTCCCTGCCAGAAGGATGAGGAGATTTTTCTCCAGTCTTCATAGTAAGACCTATAGGACTCCTGGAGGTAAAACTCATGAAAATGTGAGGGCCCTCAGGTTTTGTTTGTTTGTTTTTTTTCCATTCTCTCAATTTAGCCTATGTGCAGTCTCCAGCAATTACTCAATTGCCCAAGTATTCCTACCAGCTTCTGGTTTCAATAGTAGTTTTTGCTCCCAGTAAGCTGTGAGTTTCTGTTCTGCCTCTTGTGATTCTGTCTTTCCAGTTTTTGTTGTAGAGGTTTGCCCTGTCACCTCAGTTCTCTGCTGGATCTAACAAGGGTCGTGGATTTTGTTTGTTCATGTTTTTTGCTGTTGTTGTTATGAGAACAGGAACAATGACTTCCAAGTTCTTTACATATCAGTTGGAAACCAGAAGTCTCTGTTTACTGTATCTATATGGAGGAAATATTATGTGGTAGTGTGTTCATCTCTTCCCAATCTTATGCTCAGTGATGTCATGTTGGTAGCTTGAAATTGGCCATAATGGAAGAATTTACACTATAGAAATTGGTAAAGGCTACAAACAAAAGCTTGACTTATTTATTTTGTTGACTAGACTTAAGGAAGTGATAGAGAATATGTTAATAATGTAGATTAAATTTAAAACTGTATCATGTTGGGGCGTTTTGGTGACTCAATTGGTTAAGTGTCTGACTTTGGCTCAGGTCATGATCTCATGGTTCATGGGTTCAAGCCCCACTTTGGGCTCTGCTCTCTCTTGTCAGCACAGACCCTACTTCAGATTCTCTGCCTTCCCTCCTCTCTGCCCCTGCCCCATGCTCTCTCTCTTTCTCTCTCTAAAATAAACGTACAAAAAAAAAAAAAGTGTATCATGTCTATAGCCATTAAATTGTTAAGAGCACAAACAATTGAAAGATTCTTCAAGTTTTCAAAAGATATTATCCAATTCAGCAGAAGTGTTGCTCAATGTCCCTGACAAGTAAGTGGAGTTCCAACATTAAGTCTCATTGTTTCACTTTTACCTTATTAATGTAAATGAAAATGTCAACCAGTAGTCAAAATTATTCTTATTTGTCAAATGAAATCATAAGTTGGTTCTTAAAACAAGAATTGGGCAAAGCTGGGGGCGCCTGGCTGGCTCAGTCAGTTGGGCATCCAACTTTGGCTCAGGTCATGATCTTATGGTTCGTGAGTATGAGCCCTGCATCTGGCTCTGTGCTGACAGCTCAGAGCCTAGAGCGTGCTTCGGATTCTGTGTCTCCCTCTCTCTTTGCCCCTCCCTGCTCATGCTCTGTTTCTCCTTCAAATATAAATAAACATTAAAAAACATTGGGGGGGGGAGAAAACTGAGTTAAAGTATTCTGTGAGAATCAACTGGCTATAAGAAATTTATGATAAAGATTGTAGGGGTGCTTGGGTGGCTCAGTGGATTAAGCATCCGACTTCAGCTCAGGTCATGATCTCGCAGTCTGTGAGTTAGAGCCCCATGTCAGGCTCTGCTATAGGCACAAAGCCTGGAGCCTGCTTTGGGTTCAGTGTCTCCCTCTCTCTCTGCCTTTCCCCAACTTGTGCTCTGTCTCTTCGATCTCAAAAATAAAAGGTAAAAAAAAAAAAAGAAAGCTATGATAAAAATTGTATATTCTATTTTTTAGAAACTATGTGCTATACATTCTTTATATTGGTAAATTTATGTATAAACTTATGTACATATATGTACACGTATAATTATTTTCCAGATAGCTGGTTGTTAATAGTTTACCAGAACACCCACACACCATGGCCAATTTCAAGCTATCAGAGTGACATCAACTGAATGTGGAATTTGGAATAGTTACAAATGGCACACCATCTTTTCATGTTTTAATTGGAGACTATATAAATGTTGGAAAGAAATTTTTTTTTAGAGAAATTTCTTTTTTAAATATTTGAGAGAGGGAGAGAAAGAGTGCGGGGGCGGGGGGTTGTGGAAAGAGAGAGAATCCCAAGCAGGCTCCAAGCTATCTGTGCAGAGCCTGATGCAGGGCACAATCTCACGAACCGTGAGATCCTCAGCTGAGCCGAAATCAAGAGTCACTTAACCGACTGAGCCACCCAGGGGCCCTGGAAAGAAACTGTTTTAACAGTAGTAGATGGTAATGCTCAACATGGATGAAATATGATATTTGTAAGCACAATGCAAAATAAGATCAAACCATGGAATATGGCATAATCCTGTATTCAGAATAGAATTAATCTAGTGAATAGGAAGAGTAGTCTGATGGGTTTCATTTATAGGAAATAGAGTCCTATTCATATTAAAAAAAGAAGAGAGAGGAAAAAAAAGGAAAATTCCTCTGGTTAAAGATTTTGTCAGTTTTTATATATTTTTGAGAGAGAGAGAGAGAGGCAGAGCATGAGTGGGGGGAGGGGCAGAGAGAGAGACAGAATCTGAAGCAGGCTCCAGGCTCTCAGTTGTCAGCCCACAGTCTGAGGCGGAGATTGAACTCATGGACCATGAGATCATGTCCTAGTTGAAGTTGGATGCTTAACTGACTGAGCCACCTAGGTGCCCCTGAGGGTTAACATTATTTTGACAATAAACATGTACTAAATAC